GTAAAACCATCGAATTTGTGACTTTAAGCAAATTTCTCAAAACTCATATATTTTGCACATTTTAACATGTACGCTCGCAAAACCATCGAATTTGTGATTTAAGTAAATTTCTCAAAACTCTTATATTTTGCATATTTTAACATGTACGATCGTAAAACCATCGAATTTGTGATTTTCAATAAGTTTTTCAAAACTCTAATATTTTGCATATTTTAACATGTGCGATCGTAAAACTATCGAATTTGTGATTTTCAGTAAGTTTCTAAAAACTTATATTTTACACATTTTAACATATACGATCGTAAAACCATCGAATTTGTGATTTTCAATGAGTTTCTCAAAACTCTAATATTTTGCATATTTTAACATGTGCGATCGTAAAACCATCGAATTTGTGATTTTCAATAAGTTTCTCAAAACTCTAATATTTTGCATATTTTAACATATGCGATCGTAAAATCATCGAATTTGTGATTTTCAGTAAGTTTCTATAACTCTTATATTTTACACATTTTAACATTTACGATCGTGAAACCATCGAATTTGTGATTTTCAATAAGTTTCTCAAAACTCTAATATTTTGCATATTTTAACATGTACGATCGTGAAACCATCGAATTTGTGATTTTCAATAAGTTTCTCAAAACTCTAATATTTTGCATATTTTAACATGTGCGATCGTAAAACCATCGAATTTGTGATTCTCAGTAAGTTTCTAAAAACTTTTATATTTTACACATTTTAACATGTACGATCGTAAAACCATCGAATTTGTGATTTTCAATAAGTTTCTCAAAACTCTAATATTTTGCATATTTTAACATGTGCGATCGTAAAACCATCGAATTTGTGACTTTAAGCAAGTTTCTCAAAACTCTTATATTTTGCATATTTTAACATGTACGCTCGTAAACCATCGAATTTGTGACTTTAAGTAGTTTCTCAAAACTCTTATATTTTGCATATTTTAACATGTACGATCGTAAAACCATCGAATTTGTGACTTTAATTGAGTTTCTCAAAACTCTTATATTTTGCATATTTTACCATGTAAGATCGTAAAACCATCGAATTTGTGACTTTAAGTGAGTTTCTCAAAACTCTTATATTTTGCATATTTTAACATGTACGATCGTAAAACCATCGAATTTGTGACTTTAAGCAAGTTTGTAAAAACTCTTATATTTCGCATATTTTAACATGTAAGATCGTAAAACCATCGAACTTGTGACTTTAAGTGAGTTTCTCAAAACTCTTATATTTTGCATATTTTAACATGTAAGATTGTAAAACCATCGAATTTGTGACTTTAATCAAGTTTCTCAAAACTCTTATATTTGGCATATTTTGACATGTAAGATCGTAAAACCATCGAATTTGTGACTTTAAGCGAGTTTCTCAAAACTCTTATATTTTGCATATTTTAACATTTACGATCGTAAAACCATCGAATTTGTGACTTTAAGTGAGTTTCTCAAAACTCTTATATTTTGCATATTTTACCATGTGAGATCGTAAAACCATCGAATTTGTGACTTTAAGTGAGTTTCTGAAAACTCTTATATTTTGCATATTTTACCATGTAAGATCGTCAAACCATCGAATTTGTGACTTTAAGTGAATTTCTCAAAACTCTTATATTTTGCATATTGTAACATGTACGATCGTAAAACCATCGAATTTGTGACTTTCAGCAAGTTTCTGAAAACTCATATATTTCGCATATTTTAACATGTACGATCGTAAAACCATCGAATTTGTGACTTTAAGTGAGTTTCTCAAAACTCTTATATTTTGCATAAAAATGTAAGATCGTAAAACCATCGAATTTGTGACTTTAAGCAAGTTTCTAAAAACCCTTATAATTGGCATATTTTGACATGTAAGATCGTGAAACCATCGAATTTGTGACTTTTAGTGAGTTTCTCAAAACTCTTATATATTGCATATTTTAACACGTACGATCGTAAAACCATCGAATTTGTGACTTTAAGTGAGTTTCTTTTCAAAACTCTTATATTTTGCATTTTTAAACATGTACGATCGTAAAACCATCGAATTTGTGGAGTTTAAGTGAGTTTTCTCAAA